GGAGAGAGGGGAGGGGAGGGGAAGGGAGAGAGAGGGGGACATTTGCGGCTTTGAAGTCGGTCGAAAGCTCTCCCAACTGTCATGCCCCGTCTCCACCTGTCCCCCCTCCCTCCCCCTGCGCTGTCTCTCCATTGACTTCCTCGGGTCCGCTCTCTGCTTCAAAACAAAGAGGAGAAGAGGGGGAAAAGAAAAGGGAAAGGGGAGGGGGAAAGAGACGCAAAAGAGAAAAAGGAGAAAGAAGATGACAGAAAAAGAGAGAAAAGAGCAGACAAAAAAAGAAGAAAAGAGATAAAACACGACCACACACGAAAAAAAAGAAAATACAAAACAAGAACGAAAAAAAAGAAAAAGGAGGAAATAAGAACGGGAAAAAAGAGAAAACAAGACAACGAAAAAGAGAAAAAGAGAAAAAGAGAAAAAGAGAAAAAGAGAAAAAAATGAAAAGAACGTAAACATAAAAATCGAAAAGTAGTAAAAAAAAATTTGAAAAAAGACGATAAGTCGAGGGAAAAAAAGGAAAAAAGAGAGAGGAAAAACGGGAAGAAAATAGAAAATGCGTAAAAAAGAGAGAAAACGAGGGAAAACGAGAGAAGATTGTTAATAGAAGAAAATTAAAACAAAGAAAACAGAAAAGAAGAGAGAGAGAGAGAGAGAAACAAAGAGGAAAAAAAGAGAAGGAAACAGAAAAAGGAGAAAAAGAAGAGAGGGAGAAAGAGCAACGACGACAAAAAGATGTTCTTTCTTTTTCTCAGTCGCACGCGCCACCCATACTCGCCCGGAAGGCTGCCCGGCTGCCGGCAGCCCGGGGGTGGGTCCCCGGACGGTTTCCGGTCGCCCTCAGCGCCAGGTTCAACCAGGTGCTTCCACAGCCAGACGCCAGCGTGATGGTCCCACGTGCCATCATCCTGATGATCGACATGGTTATGATGACGATGATAAATCATGACGGTCAACATGATTATGATGATGATTGATGTGATGATGATTGTCATCATCACGATAATGAATCGTCCACCATGCAGTACCGCCCCGCCGCGCGTTTTGGCGGGGAATAAAGAAAGGGTGATAATTGATGATGATGACTGCAATGCTCACCCCTCTCATCCCTGCTTTCCCTGCCCCCCACCCCATCGCTTTCCAACCAAAGCTTATTATTATTATTTTTTTTTATAACCTCAATAACTTTTTTTTCCCTTGCAATTCCCAAGCCAGATATAAATGAGGCCGGGGAGCTCACAAATCAACCCGGAGTTATCCCGGCAGCATCAGCCGGTTTCGCTTACAGCCAACCGGGCTGGGAACTCATCTGCATAAACCAGTTTTTACCCCCCCCCAAAAAAAAGATCTCAAATCTTCTACCTGCATAAAAAAAAATGCACCACAATCACTTGGAACGGTACAGAAAAAACTGAAGATTAGCATGGGCCCTGCGCAAGGATGACACGCATAAATCGAGAAATGGTCCAAATAAAAAATTAAAAAAATTATTAAAAAAAAAAAAAAAAACCATATTGAATTACGTCGTTTGGCAGATACTTTGCCGGTTGTCTACGGAAGACCGCGACAGCGCCCGACCGGTCTCTGCCTGGACGCTGCGCATTCCCACCAAAGATGCGTGGCTCACGGCACCTGCACCTGGAGCAGCCCATGTCCATGTACATTCCCCTGTTTACTAACCACACTTCTGACTGAACTGCCCTCCTAACGAACCTAGCTGTGAAATAGTTAGTTGCCCATTACCATTACACTGCGCACTAACTCTCTACGTGCATCGAGTCCTCTTACCTATTTGGCGGGAAACTGGTCACTGGATTTGGCGGGAAACTGGTCACTGGATCAAGTGACCAGTTTCCCGCCAAATAGGTAAGAGGACTCAATGCAAGTGGAGAGTTAGCGAGCAGTGAAGTGACTTCACAAGTCTCTTGTGAAGTTACTTGTCACGATAAGCAAACTCAGCACACGAAGTGTGTGTGTGCGGGGGGGGTGTCACAAAAAAGGAAAGAAGGCCAAGGATTCTCACTTGCTCGGCCAGGATCTTTTTCGAGAAAAGATCGAAATGAGGCATTGCGTAAACAAGGTGCGGGGGGGTCACAAAAGAAAGGAAAGAAGGCTAATCACAAGGGACTGCCTGCCACCTGGAGGATGCGGGGGGGTCACAAAAAAAAGGAAAGAAGGCTAAAAACCAGGGACTGCCTGCCACCTGGAGGAGGCTGCTATCTCAGCAGGGGGGGGCAAATTTTGACAAGTCGGTTTGTAGGCTGTTCTTCATCGGTGTCTCAACTGACTGTATAAGGGACACGCTGGACCCGTTGACAGGGGCTTCTATTAGGCAGGACTGCTCATATCACGCCCCGCCCCAGTAGAGGCTGCTGAAAAAAAAAGCAAAAAAGCAAAAAGAAAAAAAGCAAGCAAGCCTGCTGCCTGCTGATTCTCCATCCGTTCCAGTTTTTCCAATTGGAGGATCCATTGGGTCAATGCACACAGTTGTTTGGGCGGAATCTTTCTGCACACGCAGGTGCTGGCTATTTTCCGGTAGCTCAGCCACTCGAATATGTGGTGGGTTCGTCCAAAGCATAGGCGTCTCCTTTTTTTTTTTTTTTTTTTTTTTTTTTTTTTTTTTTTTTTCTTTGAAATGAATGAATGAATGAATGAAAAGCCCTTGTGCAAGGCCTCTATCCCCGTCGGTGGTGCTGCAAGGACCCACCGGAATTGAGGGCTTTGCCTGTCGAGCTGCTCCTGTCTCCTTACTTTCCAGTCTCAGCTTGTTTGCTGCGCTATACCTCGGCGTTTTGACGTAGGAACGAAAAGTCGTTGTGCAGAGACCCGTCGCCCGTTGGGTCGGAGGGTAGTTGGAAGGGTGGGCAAAGTCGAAGAGGGCTCAAAACCGGGGCCGAGGTCCCACTAGCAAAGAGCTTCGGATCGAATGCCTGAATCTGGATGTGTTTTATGCAGAGATGCAGAAAAGCAGTTCAATCTCGATTTCCTTCTCCTCTCCACAAACACGTCCACATTCAGGCATTCGATCCGATCCTCTTTGCTAGTGGGACCACGCCCCGGGTTGGATGTGGTTGCTCTCAAAAAGACGAGGGCGTGGCCCATGTTTTCTTTGTTCCAATGCCCCGACCGGTCTGTGCATTAATCTGGGTTTGGGGGGGCTATGTCGACAAGGTGTATGTTTTCGGTGCATGTGGTTGGCTTCCCCCGGCCAGTGTCGATAGCATTGTCATTGCTTTCTGCTTTCGTTTTTTTTTTCTTTTTTCTTTATTTCTTCGTGTATTGTGTAACTGTAACTGTATTGTATGGGCCGATTTGCACAATTCTTGCACGAATCGTCCGGTAGAAGAAGTGTTGTGGTGTATATAGACGTAATAGAAGTTCAGAGACATTCTGAATATGGTGTGTTTGCTCCTGAGAGTCTGTTTTTTTTTTTCTCCTCCGTTTCCCCCCCCCCTCTAGCAGCGTTAACTCAAACGCCTGAATGTGGATGTGTTTGTGGAGACGTGCAGAAACGGTGTTGAGTTTCCTCAACTGCACATCTCGACAAACACGTCCATATTCAGGCGTCGAGGAAACTCAACGCTGCTGGTCTTTGGGCAGGTGGGTCTGGCGGGTCCGTTCTTGAAAGTGTTTTATTTGTTCTTTTTTTTCCCCCCCTCTCAATTTCACCTCGCACTACCTACCTACCACT